TTTAAGTACTACACTTAATTTTAAATGGTTTCTCATACTCATGTTTCTTTAGTCTTGTACGTGCGTTCGTCATATCTTTCTCGTCCAATAATAACGTGAAAGGTAATCAGCCGTAATATATGTTACCCGGGCTTATTCCTTCTTAAGTTATCGTATTGGCAAGGTTAAAAGGCCGTTAGTACGTACATACTTATCAACCCTATCACATGATTGACCTCGCAAAGGTCAATAACTTAGTCAAAATAAACGTCTGATTTATGGGCTTTGGATTGCGACCTCTTAATTTGACCCTAAAGACTTGTATCAAGTTTCATGTGTAAACCTTCATTAGTTTAAATGATATATGTTGCATGTTAAACTTTAACATGTAAAACTTTAAAAGGAAGTTTCAAAAAAGTCATATATATAGTGTAATCTGATATGTTAATAATCTTGCGCGACACAATGGTTACCCACAGCTTAATTATCTCGTGCGCATTATTTAATAACTCGTGCGCACGACATAGCATTCCGTTGCACCGCTTAATTATCTCATGCGCATGATAAAATATATAGTTCGCACCACTCGTGTAACTTGTGTATACGACAAAGTATCTCATGCGCACCACTCAATCATGTCGAGCGCATCGTTTAGTAACTCGTGTGCACGACTTAGTAACTCGTGCGCACGACATAGTATCTCATGCGTTCCACTTTATTTTCTGGTAACTCTTCTGCACCACTTAATTTACTCGTGCACAGTATCTTTAAATGTCTGCATTTAGTAATTTTTGCGCACGACTTAGGTACTCATGCGCAAGACAGATTATCTAGTGCACACGAATTTAATTATCTCGTGCGCATGACTTAGTATCTCGTGCGCACGAGATTAATAGAAACACACATATGTGTCACCGACTTAGATAGACAGTGCATGTAACATATACCTTTACTCAAGTAAATGCACTGTGCATGATTTGGTATCAGATTTTTCAATAGTTAGTAAAGTCTCCAAACTATGATACAAAAAGATAGATTTGAAATGTAGAAGTTTCATGACAATGCAATGCAACAGGTATTATACCGATGCGTTTTATCCATATGCTAAGCAGCTATTACTTTCAAATGCTTCTTCAAAATAAAGTGAACCGTTTACAGTGTTTACAGTGTTATGTATACCTTTCGGGCAATATCACGAACTGTAAATCTCCTTCAATTATAGCCTTTATTTTGGAAACGATTTCTAAACGAGATGCAGATTTTGGCCTACCTGATTTTAGTGCATTTTTTATGCACTCTACACCAGACTCAAATTTATTTTCATATTGATTACTATAAAAAGGTATGTATTGGTTTTTATCGTGTCCCACGTGGATCACGAGATAGAGGACAATAAGCAGTCGTAAGTCTCGGTAAACTGTCCTCATAACATAAATCAGACAGTTGCACAGTCCATTATTTGTATACGGAGAAACAATTGTATTTCCATTTATTTCCATTTAAAAAAATGATAAAAACATGTTTTGCAACCAAGCAAGAAGTTTTTAAAAGGCCCGATGTTTGTGTTTTTTTGTTTTTTGTTTTGTTTTTTTTTGTTGTTGTTGTACCATATTTAAAATATAAGAAAATTCCAAGCCGAAATGACTAAATTATTTCCTTTATTAAACATGGACGTTTTTTGCTTTTAATAGAAACTGTCATTAATTATTCTTGGTTGTCCTAATGGATTTTTTAATTAAAGAGGTGTAATAGTTATCTCGTAATCTTTATCAGGAAATTTAAGTTATTTTACATAATTTGCAATGATGTAGCATTTTTCTAATTATAGGAAAATAACCAAAATACAAAAAGAGAAATATACTGTATTATATTTGAAATTTCAAAAATGATTAAACTTGCATGTCTACTATAATAAAAATTGTTAACTAACACTTCATAAAAAATCTGACTTTTGGTATTGTCAATTAAATGTATTGTATACCTTAACCCAAATCCTGTCATTGTGCTTTGCGTGGCGTGAAGCGTTTTTTAAAGATTATTATCAAAAGTAAGGGGACCCTTTTTCAAATTAAAAAGGGGTAAATAAACCCGGGCTCTTTATTTTAATTTTAAAAAAAAACAATGAAGCGAAAATTTTCGATTTTTCACTTTGGCCTTTTAGTAAATTCAAAAACCAACACAAAAATTATTTTACACTAATGCTTTTTTTTTCTTAAAACCCAAAATTTCAAAAATTTTTTTTCTTTTTAAAAACCCAAAAAACCCTTTTTTTGGGTTTTGTGTGGGGCCCATTTTTTTGTCATATTTCCCGAATGATTGAAAACCGATTACAAAAATACAGACCAATGGGAAGTTTCAATTTTTAAAAAAAAAGAACCTCAATTGAATACGAATTTTTCCAAATTTAATTTAAAAAAAATGTTTATAAAATTAAAAGGAAAATTTTTTTGTTTAGTGAAATATGAAAGGGTTTTTAAACGAAAAAACATAAAAGCCAATTTTCAAAAGAACCGGGGCGGGGAGGGAAAAATTTGTGCTTTTTATCATGTTAGTAAAATATGAAATATATTTACTGATAACACCAAATTTTATGGGGAAAATTTTAAAAAATTTCTTTTCACTTTAAAACTAAACCCAATACAAACTCCCCCCATCAAGGGGGTTTATACTCCAAAAAAAATTTTATTTCTTTCCCTTTTCTTTTACAAAAAAAAAAACGGGAAACGTGTATTTTTTCAAACCCATAATTTTTTCTTTTTCCCAACTATAGTTTTAAAAAACGTATCATCGCATTTAAAAAAAAAAATAACAAGTGTCAAAAGTGTTTGATAAAATCACAAAACCCTTTACCAAAAAATTTTAATTTTCAACTTTAAGCTTTTTAATTTTCCATTTTTCTCACCCCCATCCATTATCATCCTTAACATCAATCATCAATTAAAATTTATATAAAAATTTTTTTTATCATTATAATAACTGTTTCCCGTTTTTTTAAATTTCCCAAACATTGCCATTAAACAAAAATAATAAAAATGAGTTGTTATAAACTCATTTTATCATTAAAAATTTAAATTTTTTTAAAAAATTTATCTTGCCATCATCGCATAAACATTATCTTTTCCTTTTACTTTAAAAATCAATTTAAAAAAGAATTTCAAGAAACTCCGCACCTTTAAAATTTGGGCGCCGGGGGACCGCCATATTAAAATCACCCACACATTTTTTTTCAATTTTCCCTTTCAGATTTTCATTAAAACATTATTATGGTTTTAATTTAAAGAATTTTAAAAAACAAAAAAAACCCCTTTAACAGCTATATTTTACGTGGACGTTTGGGAAAATTTGGGGCATCCCCCAATTTTTAAATTTTAAAATACAATGTAAAAAATGGCTGATTGTTGCATGAAGTAAACCGTTTTATATAACATAAAGAAAACATAATACAACATATCCTGTTGTATTGTAAGGCATTTCGCAATTAACAAATCATTTAATAAATAGTCTTATTACTTTTAATATCAAATAAAATATCCAAATAAACAAATATTACGTTATCAATTTGAATGGCCGCTGTTAATAAAAAGAAGCGAACCCTTTGAAAACTGGTTGCCTTAAATTATAATTTATTTAGTATTTTTTTTCAAAGCGCATTGGATTCGTTATTGATTAAATTGTCGGGTGTCCGCCATTTGTTGTAATAAACATTGCTAGACCTTGCATACCGTCCCTAACTTTGGGTAGGCGGGGCCGCTAACCGGGGAATAAAATACTTGAAGTTAAATATGTTTACTAAACCCGGTTAATAAAGAAAGTGTCAAACCAAAATAAAGTTCTGGTAAAACTAAGACTCTCAGAAATGTCCATGATACTTGCAACAACTTTATTATTTAAGGTGGATTCCGCTTTGTCAGCCATGTTTGTTTTCACAAAGTCTGTCCAAAGTGAAAGTAGGCCAAAATTCATATAACAAAAAGCTCACATTGTTATATGATGAGCCATTTGCAAGTACACTTCCAGTTCTACATTTTAAAGACTAATTTAAACAAAAATTAAAATGATAATAATAAAGAAAATTTACCTTGAATGTGCTACATTTCTGAAGACCAAAATCATTCTGTTGCAAAGTTTTATGCACATTTCATGAATGGCAAAATCCTTTTTAAAGTCTGTTTTAGTGCCTACAAAAGCTATTTTTTGCAGAAAATACAAAAAACTTAAAAAAAAACATAAATTTTAGGAAAGTAGTTTATCTGACCTTGAAAAAACATGGCCACTATGACATGTGTAAAAAAGTAGTACCATGAAAAATAAACATCATTTACCTATTTCTTGTGTACATGACAAACAGAGACACTTCACTGTTACACATACAAAAGGTTAGATTTTAAAGTTTGATTGTGTTTTCATTTTAATTGTAGTTCATAAGGCTATAAATTATGATTGTTTTTCTTGCACTACTTTTTTACAAAAAATAATGGAGGCCATGTGCTTAGAATGACATGAGATACTGATTTATTTGGAGTTAAGTTTTGAAAGATTATTGTATTTGCTGCAAAAAATAGCTTTTGTAGGCACTAAAACAGACTTTAAATAGGATTTTGCCATTCATGAAATGTGCATAAAACTTTGCAACAGAATGTTTTTGGTCTTCAGAAATGTAGCACATTCAAGGTAAATTTTCTTATTGTTATCATTTTTATTTTTGTTTTAAATTGCCTTTAAAACATAGAACTGGAAGTGTACTTTCAAGTGTTTCATCATTTTACATTGTAATCTTTGTTGTTATATGAATTTTGACCTACTTTCACTTTGGACAGACTTTGTGAAAACAAACATGGCGGACAAAGCAGAATCACCTTAAATGAATATTGTCCTTATAGAAATTATTACATATCAACCATATATATCAACAGTTGGTATTATATTCCTACAAAAATGTAATTAAAAAAATCCTAAACTAACGTTTAATCATTATCATATGTTTTTGCATATATATTGTAGCATGTTTCTAAAGTACTTACCTCTTCTGATTAATTTCGGATTAATTCATATCCAATTTTAAATCCAACACATTTTGAAATACAGTCCTGTGTGGGGTAATGTTTGTATAATTTAACACATCTATTGGTTTTATGTTTATCAGTATTTCATATTTAGATCTAACACGTAAAGTTTAAGAAAACGAGATAAAATGTTTTTTTTTTAATATAAAACATTTAAAAAATTTATTAAAATCAAGAACCTGCGGGGTTTTTTTTTGGTAAAATTTACAATTCCCATTTCAGTTTAAAAGGGTTTTGCTCGGTTTTTTTCCCGTAAACTTACAAAAATTATAAAAGACGAATTGAAATTTGTTTGGGTTGACAAAAAAAACTTTTTAATTTTTCAAGGGACGTTCTTTGGGGCCTGAAAGGAATGATGAACATAAATAAACCTTAAAATATAACTAAGACTTTATACCGCCCCAATGGGCCCAGTTTTACGCCCTCAAGGTCTTAAATTGCGTTTTTTACTTTTTTTTTTTTTATTTTGTATGGTTGAGATTAAAAAGTTTGGGTGGTTTTAATTTATATATTTTATATAGTTTTTTTGAAAATTCAAAAGTAAACAAGAAATTTCTAAAATTAACAATTAAAAGGGAAGTCACAAATTTTCAAGTTTGAAAAGTTTCTAAATAAGTAATCTGTCTTACTTCCATAAGCTCAAATTTAATCTCTAGGTATTGTTATGTGCTGGCCTTCTAAGACACGGAAATCAGGCTTACTCTTGATCAGGGACTTTTGCTTTCACGTGGACTTGTGGCAAACAGTAACGCTTATAGTTTGACCCGGCAGCAAAGACAAGTAGAGTAATGATTTTAAGGGGATTATACGCCTTTTAAAGAACTAAAATCTCAATAAATAAGAATAACATTTCAATCAGTTATGCACATTAGCATTAGCAAAAATGTTGTTTTAATAAACAGATATTCATAGCAATATTCTCTTCTTGTGTAGGACTAAAGGTATCCATCTTGAAAATTGTGGAACAAATATGAGGTGTCGGTGGCTAAGCAATGTTTAAAGGAGAATTATACAACAATTTACTATTAAAACATTTTAAAAGCGATCTTAATTAATAGCGTAAGTTATTATGTTAACGAAACAAATTATTCAACAATATTCTGAGCGATTGCTACTGAAATGCGTAAGTTCCGAAGGAAAACAACTTCTGTTCAAAGTATTTCTAAAAGATTATCTTTACTTAAAATTTAATCAAATAATTCAATGTAAATATAAATCTATTAAATCGTTAAATTAAATTACCTATTCTGGAATTAGATCAGAATGAAAGGCGGTAAGGTAATGCTTTGAGTTTTCAGAGCTGCGGAGTGCTTTCAAACAGGAATGCAGCGCCTTTTATACACGTGATTCAAACATAAACAACAGTGTTTGTCAACAATTCAAACAAAAATAAAAGGGGACCCATAAGGGGTTCAAACAGTTCCGACACCTCAAACAGTTAATAAATAAATCAATATATCAATGAATAGAAATGAAATTAATGCGTACATTTACCACAGGTAATTATTACAATATTCAAAATACGATAATAAGGAGTGAGTAGTAGATGTTGCGCCTATCAATAATTTAATACAAAAACATAGATTCAAACACTTTCCGCCGAAAACCTCCCATTGAAAATCAAGCAGAGCTGGTAATTCACTATGACGTAACTTTAAAGTGCATGTATGACGTAGTCTCAAAGAAGCATACAAAATGGCGGACTTAAATGACAATAGTGTGAATTGACATAAGAGGTAAGACATAATACGATAGTAAGATAAGTTTAAAGCTATATATGAAATTCTGGAAACAAAGTGATCCCTCGGAAGCATTAATCACAACAAAATAACATAAGAATTGCAGACTCGGTTTGATTGAGTCTGTACATGAGGGATAATGAATAAGTGCAACATCCCTCACGCCCCCTAGCATAGGGGAAAGCGTAGGTTAAATTTTACAGATATAAGGTGATAGGACACTAATTTCGAAAACAAAAGTAGGTTGATTTACCTGCGCATATCACTACCCACTCCTTAGCGAGGCAAATTTCCATCTGCCTTGCTCGATTCATCAAACATAATGCAAAGATAAAGGTTAAATATAAGAGATCTGTTTAAGGTTGAATAATTAGACACAAATAATAGGCTTTCACAAAATTGTCAAATTGTCATTTCCATTTGAGAACAATTAATAAATTATGTCTTTAATACCATTTATCAATTACTAACTGTTAAGTATTAAACTTTGTAAGTCCATCACAGTTCAATAATAATATAGTTAAAATGTATACTCTTTGAAACAATCATAGTGTAAGATTACCATTAATGTCAAGTGTTAAAAATATGAATCAGACAATAAGTCACTTCTCAGTTATTTCAATATTTGATTAATAAGTCTGTTAATTTCCTGAGCATACATGTATAGAATATGAGTCAGTTGAAGTTATCTCTACTATACAGCCTGTTAAACTTCCAAAATAAATTAATGGTAGTGTAACCTTTCTCTCCTCCACCCCGTCTTTCCGTCATGTGATTCACTGCTCAATTGTCTCTGGTTTGCTCTATAAAAGTCTCCTCTTCTACTACTACCCTCCTCTTATCTCTACCGCTCTTCCCGCTTTTCATTCTGTGTACACCTCTCTGAATTCTTTTCAGCTTCCACTCTATTTTCTTTCTTACCTTCCCCTGCCCCTTCTTTTCTCCGACCTTCTCTCTTCCATCAACTCTGCGATTTCCTTTCTCATGATATCAACCGACTTCTGTAACTTGTTAATCAACTTCGCATTCTCCATCACCTGTCCACCAACTATCTCCCCCGTCTTCCGCACCATTTCACTCAATATCTCGGTAAACCTCTTCTCTCTTGCCGCAATTCTCTCTTCCTCGCTGTCTGAATTCGAGTCTTCCGATTCTTTTTCTGATGATGATGACTCATATTGCTCTTTCTTATGTTCTGTCATTGACCATCTAAACCTCTTTGAACCACTATCACTGCCCTCCTCACAACTGCTCGGCATTTTAACACCTTCTCCCCTTCTCCTTCTCTTCTCCTAATACTACCTTGTCACCTCACGCTTCTGCTCTTGCTCATCAATAACCTCTTAATGACAACTTCTCACTATCCTTAAATCTAACGGCTCATCCTGTATTTCCTCACATTAACGTTCTTCAACCAATACCTATTCCTCTCTCATCTTTTCCTTCTTTTGATCTTCCTCCACTATAATCCTTAAATATTTCCTCTCAACCTCACCCATATCTATACTAGCCTCCATCATTCTCTATTATGTTGTAACATACTGGGAAGCGCTTTTCCGTCCACCAGGCCATGCTTTCCTCTTTTCGTTAGCCTCTCTATTTAACGTTACGTCTACCCACATTTGGAGTTCAAACTACTACCCAAATATTGGTCTAGACAATTTTACATCTTTTCTCCCTTCCAATGACCCATTTCTGTGCGTGCATAGGTTGTCAGGTGCTGTAAGGCTGTCCTTTTTGGTTCGACAGCCTAAAAAACCAATCGACAAGCAAAGTATGGTTTGCATATCGTTCGGCATCGTTTGGTACTTATCGCACATGATTCCTCTATACCTCTTTTACTATTTCATGTTGAATTCGGCTTAAGACCGGTGCTAGAGGGCCGTGGATCGGTAAACTTGCACTTTCCAGTACCGTCCATGAACAGGCTCAATCAAACCAAGCCTGCAACATTTTCAATTTTGCCGTGATGGGCTTTCTTTAGGGATTCTGTACTTATCTATTTTTTGGAGTTAATGTATGCTTTGGTAGTTTAGCGCGGAGGAAGGTAGTCTAGTACTGGTGTAACTCTCCAGGAACGATGGTTAGGAAACTACCCGCCTATATGACTGAAATACTGTTGGGAAAAGGCGTAAAATGAAACAAACAAAATAATGTTATCCAACTTCCCATTTCTCTTGCAGTGCAAGCACCGATAAGCCCTCCCTCTTATGTTCGCCGAATTACATGAAGGTTTATCCATGGCACTGCAAAATACACATATGACAACTGAATGGTTACTTTCGAATGTCATACTTCTTTTATATTGCCACCGACCCACATTTAAGTTAATCTTGAAAAATTCTGAAACTTTGGTCTAAAGAATATTTTGTTAAGGTAGGCTGACTCGATTGGAACTAGGGCTCGAACAAATTATTTACCAGCACGTGATTCACGTGCACACATAAGATAATAACAAACAATCACCACTCGGTATTTGAATGTACATAACATTTATTTTCACATCAAAACATCCATTTATATGTATAAACACATTTACATGAAGATTGTAGGCAGTAGTCGCTGGTCACGACAACAGTCAATTTACAAATAATATAATAAAATATTTCAACATTTTTTTTTAAATTTCTAATTATACAGCGAGACTGGTCTCTTTAATTTTTTTAGATGCGCTGGCCGCCCATTTAGGAGGATTTTTCCCTTCATATCTCTTAAGCTTGTTATGATGTACAACTCTTTCTTGACCTCCTTTATTTAATTGCAGCACATAATTTAAAGCTGACCTCTTTTCTTTAATAACATATGGCCCATCAAATGCCTTCTCTAACTTAGGCATAACCCCTATTTTCTTGGTCTCATGAAGACACCAAACCAAATCACCTTCTTTGTAATTATGAAAATTAACTTTTGAGTCATAAATGTCTTTGCTGCGTTTGGCATTAACCGATAAATGTTTACGTGCAATCTCGTGCGCATGCAACATCCTACCTTTATTCCAAAACAGATGTATCATAATAAAGTTTAGACGAATTTGTAGCATTTACGTGGCCAAATATTATATCCGCTGGCGTTCTGATCTCTCGACCAATGCACATTAAGTTCGGCGAAAGTCCGGTTGACTCATTAGGAGATGCCCTATACGCGCCGGCTAGGCATCCGAGATTAAGGTCCCAATTGACCTGTTCACCGACTAAGTATGCTCTTATCATTTTCAACAACGTTCTATTAAATCTTTCCACTTGGCCATTGGCACGTGGATTTCGTGCACTCGTGCGCGTTTTTCTAAATTGTAACATTTTGGCATAGGTCCCCGAAAAGTCGACTTTCAAATGTCGAACCTTGATCACTGTGGATACTCAAGGGACATCCCCACCTGGCTATGATATTATTGAGAATTATAGATGCACATGTCTCTGCGGTTTGGTCAGGGACTGCGAAAACTTCGACATATTTGGTAAAATGATCACTCAGTACCAATATGTAACGGTTACCCCTAGGTGTTAATGGAAATGGGCCGGTGTAGTCTATTGCAATCACGTCCCATGGTGCACCAGCAGTTAGGGAGCCCATAGGTGCTCTAGGAGATCTACTTGATTTGTTGTCAACTGCGCACGTGTCACAACTTTTGATAAACAAGCTTATATCTTCGCGCATCTGGTACCAATGATATTGAGTCGCTATCCAGGGCTCCAGATAATTTTTTAGGGCAATGAGTATTTACTCATTGATTTTTTTGTGAATGAGTAAAACTTGAAATCTGACAGGAATATTTTTACTCCTTAAAATGTATGTAAAAGAGTAAAAGATTTATTATGCTTCCATGTTTATTGTATTATTATACGTGTAATACAAGATATGTCAAAGTCATTTCTTTTGCTTTTTGGACTCTCTTGGTTTATAGTCTTGCATTTCCAAACGGCATACGTTTTATCTGAACCTGAGGCATATTTCTGTTGCTCATAGGATGGTCCCCTATGGAACCGTTGTTCTTAATAATATCCTGCAAATTGTACAACTAAAAAGAACTTACCTTAAATATTTTATTACACCTTGATTTACTGTTGCATGTTGACTCTTAATTACACATATCTTTTTTAAAAATAACTCCGTTTTTTAAACAGTTAAATGTAGGTCAATAAGCCATGTTTCTCAGCAGGTACTTCAAGGGAGAGCACTACAGTACCGCGGTAACTCTTGCAATATTAAATATGGTGTCCATGTAGGCACAACACTTCCAAAAATAGTAACTTTTAAATTAAATTAACCTTTTTAACTATAAACTGTCAAAAATTTAACAACTTTTTAAATATTTTTGTGTATTTTACCAAGTTTTTGTATAAAAATAACTGTCTATTGCATTTTTACTCATTTAGTTTGCAATGAGGGCATCTGAAGATACTGTCTCTTCTTAGCACTCTAACCTCAGAGCAATATTTTAAATGTGTCCAATGAGTACAAAAGTCACATTTTCCCCATGATACAAATACAATTGTGTCACAGCCTCTTATTTCTTCAGGTTGCCACCCATTGCAGACACAGCACAAGTCTTCATTGTCATCTTCAGTTTCCATGCTGTCATCATGATCTTCTGCCAAAGAAATAGGCCCCCCAGATTTCTGTAATCCCGATGTACTTGGCAATTGATCTTGAGGTTTTTGTTTGGATTTTTCCAATATTTCAATGTTTTTTACACTTAGCAAATTTCCACTCAGAAATGGTGGGACAAACTTCTTTCTGGGTTTGTTTTCTACAACTTTAGTTACAGTTCTTTTAGAAAAGAAAGATGGTGCGTTATCAGTATCATCAGTGTTATGTGTTGTTGCAATTTCAACTTGTTCTTTTGGTGACTGATGTGATGATTGTTCTTTTTGTGACAATTGTGATGATTCCAAAACTTGGTTGTTTTTGTATATTTCAGCTGGGGCAACATCAATATCAGTGATACTTGATTTGTTAAATGGAAATACACCAGTTTTCCTGAAGGCAGCTTGCAGATTTTCTGTAGAAAGGGCTTTCATGTATGGTGTAGAGGTTAACTCTGCCACAACATATTTCGAAACCTTTAGACCTGGGTTTTGTTGCATGTATGTGTGACATGACATACTGTACATTCTCTTGAATGGCCCAAAAACTGCAACATCTAATGGTTGAGTTAAATGACTTGTATGGGGAGGCAACACAAACAATATTACATTGTTTCTCTGGGCCCATTGAGTAAGAGTGAGGTTAATATGAGATTTGTGGCCATCATAAAGTAGAAGTGTTGGTGTATCTGATGACAAATTGGCATACTTTGCAAAATGTTTTGTTACATAATTTTGAAAAACCTCCGTGTTAGACCATCCATTCTTGGTCATTTCTCCTGAAGAGCCAACACATGCATTCTGGAGGAATTCAGGGTTCCAGCGCTTTCCCGGAAATATAAAGTATGGTGGAATACCATTGCCAATAGCATTTCCACCAGCTATAATGGTAACTAAAGGTGACCTTGGTGATGTAACAGCCTGAGGATTTGTATCAGTATTACATACAAGTTTTGGGGGTTGGTGTTCTGTTGATATTCCAGTTTCGTCAATGTTAAAGATGCGCTCAGGTTTGTCTAATAAATTATTTTCATTTAGAATTGTCCAAAGTTCAGAGTAATAGCTATCAATGACCTCTCTTGATGCAGACTTGGCTCTGGAGATTGCAAGTTTCTGTGGCTTTGCTATTTTTAAGTTGGGCCATCTCTTGATAAATTGGTAAAACCAACAATCACTTAACCTTTCAGAAGATTTGACAGGTTTACCCAGGTGAAGAGCATAATCCCTTGCCATATATTTTATTTGGGACACATTATAACCGTATCCAATACGAGCCATATATGAAATATGCTCCACAAGTTTTTCTTCTTCTTCTTCAGGGGTGAATATAGGCTTAAAACCAACAGCTACATCAACAGGGACCAGACCCCTTGTTCTGTCACGAAGAGTAGACTCTGGCACACTGTACTCTCTTGAAGCCCTATAAACAGACATGCATTTCTGTGTTGCTTCAAAAGCCCTCAACAGATTGCCCCTGTCATATGCCATCTTCACCTTTGCCTGCTTTGGCTTAATTCTCTGAAATTATAGTAATAAAAGAACTAAGATCATATTTGTTTTATTATTTTTATTATGAAAAATCACAAAAATAATCACTTTTATAATGTGAATTGATGGCTCTTTTTGGCTTCCGTAGATTTTTTTTGAGCAGGATCTGACGTCACGGAAGTTAGCAGACGACCTTGACTTGTCAAAACATGAAAATATCTGTTTTATCGGTAAATATTGTGTTTAAAATAAAAATATTTTTAATATATGTCGGAAAACTGTTATTCTATATATCATTTAAATATAATGAGAAGAAACTTACCAGAAAAGAAGACATTTCTAATTATTTCTGTACCGGCGCAAAAAAACAACACTTCCGCTTTCGTTTTAATATAGTAAACAAACAATAGGTGGCGCTCCGTATGTAAATAAGGTCATTTTCGGATTACAGCGGAATCGGATAAGACGCGGTACCGGCGGGGAGTAGTATACGTGGCAGCGCTAATTATTTCATTGATTATAACCGTCACAATTACTTTTGGGTCGATTTTTGTTCGGCTGAAAATACGAGTCAATCGTTTTAACTTTTGACAGCGACATTGTACCGGTTAATTCCACCACCTTACTATACATACGCTAACAACCGATGAAAGTCGGAACTACAGGAAGTTACCGTTAGACGTTGCAAAGCATTCATACGAAGTTAATTCCACCACCATACTATGCATACGATAACAACCGATGATGGTCGGAAATACAGGAAGTTACCGGTAGACGCTTGCAAAGCGTCCAGACGAAATTGAAAATAAAATAATCACCGAGTTTACTTTCGGTTACGTTTACGCGAAAGAAATGTTGCTCAATGCGTAACCTGAATTTTGTGTGCGTTTTCATACGCTTAAATTTTGTTTTGAATGCGTAAACGGGTTAGGTGGCTGAAGGGCTGGTGCCAGCCATGCCCACCGATACCTATCTGACCCCTATTCGTGGTAAACGCCTAATTAAACCTAAGAAACTAGACAATTACATAACTAAAAACATTGTAGAAAAACAAGCTATAAACCATCATAAGTGCTATAAACCTATTATCTCAAAAAGTGACCAATTTGAACATTCATTCTTTCCTAAGACTATTAGTGATTGGAATAACTTAGACAGTGCCGTTGTGTGCGCAGAGACAGTACAGAGCTTTAAAACAGCTCTCCAACAGTGCTACTAAATTACTTAGCTCCTCTCTCCCGCTGCGTACATACCGGAAGGTTCTGCAGTGTACACATTCAGATTCAGATTTCCATGCGTAATTACGCGTATACGCATCTTATCTGGAGCCCTGGCTATCTTAGCCTTAGTTTTCTTGACACCTAATGCCCTGCAATAACTGAACTGTAATTTTGGAAAATAAGTTCTTCCCTAAGCTGTTTAGGCACACTCAATTGTAAAGACTCATAATTTGTATCAGGCCTCTTAGCAACCTTGTAAAGGATATTATCTTTTAGGACTAAAGAGTCCCATATCAACCAATAATATCTCGCGGCGTGACTGCGTAACATTATTTCATCGCTACTCGGTCTTTTATTTTCTTGTAGGGCGCTTATTACAAATAATAAGTCGGGGTCATTACGTTGGTAGGTTATCATGCTATCTGGGAGGCAGAGGCTTAGCCAGCTCTGGCTTCTACTTTTATCGCTAGAAGTGCTTGGCAATGGATTCGAACCTATAACTCTTAGATTAACCGTTTCCGCATCTATTTTCTTTACCGAATCGCTAATGCATTTTTCGGAATAGTCTGACATTTTTTCCCCTTTAAATGATAAGGCCATGTTAAACGCCCTCTGTCGACATTTTTTACACGGTCCGCACTTCAGCGGTTCGCTCATATCGACATCATCGCAAGAACAATCTCTTGGTGTTTCACATCTTGACAGCGCGTCGCAATGGCTTTGTTTACTACCCGGACGATATTGTATTTCAAAGTCGTACTGCGCGATAATCTCTATCCATCGAGCTATTTTACCGCTCGGCTCCTTCAGACTGAACAACCATATGAGCGCTTGGTGATCTGTTCTGACAATAAACTTCCTTCCGAGAAGGTATTGTCTGAAATATTGTACAAAATAAATAACTGCTAGAAGCTCTTTTTCCGTAATACAATAATTTTTCTCAGCTTTGTTAAGCGCGCGGCTTGCAAAAGCGATGACGCGTTCTCGATTGTCTTGCATCTGCGACAAAACGGCGCCTATTCCGACACCCGACGCATCAACGTCTAACATAAAACTACCTGCATCATTAAGTGGATATCCCATGACATCTGGACTCACCAAACATTCTTTCAATTGATTAAAAGCTTGTTCGCATTGCGCATCCCATTTAAATTCTACATCTTTTTTTGTTAAGTTTATAAGCGGTCTTGCGATTTTTGCGAAATCTCTAACAAAGCGCCTATAGTATGATCCGGTAGCGACAAACTGTTTTACAGCCTTACTACTAGATGGTCTAGGCCACTGTACTATTTTAGCAATATTTGTTGGGTCAGGTTTTATGCCATCTTTAGAGACAACATGGCCTAGAAAGACTACTTCATCTTTAAACATGTTACATTTTTCAGGCTTCAATTTTAAACCAGTAGCTTTTATTTTACCTTCATCAACCCTTTGAATATGCTGTGAATATTTTTCACCAAAAACTATTATGGTTCGTTGAAAAGTACATCCGGCATGATTGTCACGACAAAACCAACATAGTGCGTTTGCGACCAACATGGATCCATGCTGTTCGCTTACAAACCCTATAACAAGTAGAAAAAGTGATAGCGAACAGCATGGATCCTGATCAGACTGCGCTGATGCGCAGGCTGGTCTGGATCCATGCTGGTCGCAAACCCATTATGTTGGTTTTGTCGTGACGCGGCTCTGTGTCTTTTTCACCTGAGACAAACATGTCATTATGAAGTGTAAAGTATAAACATGAGCGATGCATCAACATACGTTCATTGTAGGGGAAGAAACTCGTAAAACCGTATGTTAGTATTACGGTATAAGTTATCCTTCATTTGTTAGCTACCCAATATATATACACAAAATATATCAAATAAGCTAAATGTTCAACAGAATGTAATGCCAATGTTGACTATATCAGAGTTGTTATTGAATACAAACCAAACAAACAAAACAGGGCATTTCTATGTGGTAGATAAAAGGCTGACAAAGTTAAACTTTTTATCGTAAAACACTTCGAGATCATTGTTGCCAAGAGTAACAAAAGACGCTGATGTACAGTTTTTTTTTTTTTTTTTTGGTCTGTCTGAATATTGTGAAAACACTAGTAAGAGGTAATATGATTTAGACTCTATAAATAAAAGATGATTTGCTAGCTGTCGTAAGATAATACATTTGAACACAAATCAATCAACCAATTGCTCAATCAGTTAGGAAATAAATGAATGAATGAATGAATAATTGAATGAATGAATGAATGAATATATGAAACACACTGCTGCCTGAACAATGCCCGCAACAACTTTTATTGAAGTCTCTTTTTTCCCAATTAATTATTCATTTCATAACTCGTGAATAAAGATCTACAACCTAATTTGAACTACATTGTGGTTCTAATCTTAAAATAGCGTTATTTTCAGTTAATAAATCATGAAACATTATACCTTGGCAGTCTATTTTTACAATGATATCTGTTAATACAGATACATGCTAACGCTTTAGTGAATATGTTTTAAGGCTATATACAATATTTGTAATTCCATGAGCCTAAAGCACAGTTAAATTTTAAAGAGTCAACTATTGTTCCGGATCTGACATGTATTTATACATAGAAACCAACTTTAAACCATTAAAAAAAACAGTGTTCGGAATCCTTTTTACATTGTATTGACTATCTATTACCCTGTTTTCATGAATAAAAAGTTGTATATATATATATGCTTTACGATTGTTATTCACACAAAAAAGAACCATAAAAGAATCAAAAATTCTTTGAATTCGATAGCAAATGTAACTTTCCTGGTACGAATGAAGATCAAGAAGTTATTGAACAACAACAGCAGTCACAACAACAACAACAACAACAACAATAAAACAGCATTTTTTCTTTACTTTCACACATATAATCTTTAAGTATATAAACAAGATTTTACGGAACGAAGCACACGATTCTCGTGCAGTGACAGCTTAGCAGTCGGCAAGTATCGCACATTGCTCCACACATTGTTTGACAGAGATTCCGTTTATTATAATAGAGCTATATAAAATAGCATCAGCATAAAACATACATCTTATAATTAACTAAACTATAGCATTTACTCCATATATCATTAGTTAATTGATATACATGTACATATAAAATGCACTTAAGATAGTAAAGAATATCTTTTTAAAAATAGAATCAATATAAGACTATGTCTTCTTTTTCTAATCATTTTCTTGACTGTATGATTTGATTCGTATTATATTTGCATGTTAATGTTTATATGTATATACTTTGGAAGAAAATGAGTTTGGACGTATATAATTTTGTTTTTCTCAATTAAACCCCATTTGAATATTTTTAAGATACCGACGATTCAATCTGATGCATGCTTTTTTACCAACATAAACTAATATTACCAAGTCATAACCGACATAAACTAGCATTGTTATGTTATTACCGACATAAACTATCATTGTTATGTCATTACCTACATAAACTAGCATAACCACGTCATTACCGACATATACTAGCATTACCACGTCATTACCGACACAAACTAGCTTTACCACGTCATAACTGACATAACAAGCATAACCACGTCATTACCGACATAAACTATCATTACCACGTCATTACCGACATAAACTATCATTACCACGTCATTACCGACATAACAAGCATAACCACGTCATTACCGACATAAAATATCATAACCACGTCATTACCTACTTAAACTAACATTACCATGTCATTACCGACATGAACTAGCATTACCATGTCATTACCGACATAAACTCGCATTACCATATCATTACCGACACAAACTAGCATTATCTTGTCATTACCGACATAAACTAGCATTATCACGTCATTACCGACATAAACTATCATAACAACGTTATTACCGACAAACTAGCATTGTTACGTCATTACCGAAATATACTAGCATTGTTATGTCATTACCGACATAAACTATCATTGTTATGTCATTACCGACATAAACTAGCATTACCATGTCATTACCGACATAAACTAGCATTACCATGTCATTACCGACATAAACTAGCATTACCATGTCATTACCGACATAAACTAGCATTATCACGTCATTACCTACATAAACTAGCATTGTCATGTCACTTAGTACATACCAGTTCATATCCGACCAAATAAATCAGTCACGAACATTAACCATATTATTGTATGAAACATGTGTAAATGCACGGGAAATCTGTTATCTCATTACATAAAAAAGTATAAT